TTCTGATTCTGATTCTGATGTTAATCGTTAACAACCGTCACGGGTCTTTAACCTCATCCGCAAGGCAACAGAGTCAAATGAAAACCTATTTTGGCAGTGACATACGGACACTGTGTCAAGTGTTAAAGTCCATGTCCATAAAGGACCTCTCTGTAGTCCTCACCAGAATGAGAAACATCTTAGTGTAAATGTTTGTGTTTTAAACAGTTAGAGACTTAAAGCTGAACAAAAGAAGGAGGCATGAGTGATGATGTCATCCAGTTAAATCTTGGAGCTTCTCCACAGACAGTGATTAGTGGCACACATCACTGGGACAGCAGCATTTTACTGGTCTCACATTCAAGTTAGAAATGATTTGTGTTGGGAATCAAAAAGTTCAGTGTTGGTTTGTGTACTCACTCCAGTAACTGTCAAGTCCAGACACTTTGATTTCCAGCTTAGTGAGACGGTCTGTGGGTTTAGATTTTCCTGTTCAGTTGTATTGCAATAACAAACGTTACAGTTTGTTTTAAGGCACAAATAACAGTGAATATGGGGGGGGGGGGGTATTAGACTCCAGGGGGCTTAAACTGTGTTGTAGTCTGGGTCTTAAAAATCTCTCACTATATTGCATCTTTTCATTTTTAAAACGTGTCCTGCCTTGCAAACTTTTAGTTTATTGTCTTTTCTGACACAATGATTTGTAAAAATAATATTGTTTATTAGTTGAAGAGAAACATTTACAGACACATGTCAGGTCTGTCAGTCCATCAAATGGATCCTGGTGTGTTGTGTTCCCTCGCAGACATGCTGTAATTTGGATATCACTGTGCTGGAGACGGTGTCGCCATGAAGAGCTCCACCTCCAGATGGGCCTTCTCCCTGGGCTTCTTGGTGGGGGCCTGTAGCATCTACTTCTTCCTGCGCCAGGTGTGGTTTGAGAGGAGCTACCCCGTGCTGTCAGAGGCTCAGGAAAAAGCCACAGCGGTGGAGGAGGTCCCGACCAGCTGGAAGAAAGAGGGAGCTGCTCTCATCAACCTGCTCCACCCTCACCATGCAGGTGCTTTACACTATTTCACACTGGTCCTCTACAGATAAAATCATTTAGTATGTATGGTATGGTAAAAAGAGAGTTTTAGTTATTATTAGTCTCCCTATATCTGATATCAAAGCTGTATTAAATTATGTATGCTGTATTGGATCATTACCTCTAAATTAAAACCTTGCATCTCTTACCCATCCTAGCTAGATTTTATAAAATACACCACTATTGACCCTTTTCACA